TATATATAAGGAGGTATAAGTGATATGGGAAAATTAGTGATGAATGAAATAAAATTGATGATGTAATTTAGTACAAATGATGTTACAATGATGAATTAAACTATAATATGTGTGTATTGCAAGTTTTTTTTTTGTTGAATTTTCATTTCATCAATAAATTTTACAGATTCTAACCGAGTATTAGGTGATGTATTGTGTTTGACTGGTTCAGTTCTATACGCAGTAGATAACGTTGGTGAGGAATTTTTAGTAAAGCAAAATAATCGGGTCGAATATCTTGGCATGGTTGGCTTGTTCGGTTCAATCATTTCGGGGATACAACTGTAAGTATATCGGATAACAGTTTTGTTGAAATGATAAACAAAAGAAAAATTAGTTTTTATATTTGATAAAAGTGCTGCTATTCCAGTGCTACTTTGGAGCATCGTGAGTTAGCATCAGTGAATTGGTCAGGAACGATCGTAGTATACTACCTTTTATTTGCTACCTGTATGTTTTTGTTTTATTCAATGGTCAGCGTGGTAGTACAGAAGGCTTCTGCTCTTATGTTCAATTTATCAATACTTACTGCCGATTTTTATACTCTTATTTTTGGCGTATTCATGTTCAAATATGAAGTAAGTTATCTGTTCGACAAATTATCGCTAATGCTGACAAAATAAAAGATGATCTAACAGGGCTAGAATATCTACTTTATGCAAATTTTGGTAGTCCTAAACAAAAATCAATGTTTAGCTTTTTAAAAATTGCAATAAAATTTCAGTTTCATCCATTATATTTCGTATCGTTTACCCTAGTAATTATTGGTTCCTTAATATATTCGATCCGAAAAACAGAAAGGCGAGATTCAGATGAACCACGCAATATATGCCGCTTATTATGTTATTGTTGTATAGGTGATGATAATCAATCATCGGCCATTCCTCAGCAGTTTTTTGTAAGTCCATTATACCAATTATTTTTTTTGCAAAATAAGATTTTTTATTAAAAGAATAGAATTCCTTTATCGGTATTGTAGTTATCATTTTTTCATCTCATGCAAAAACAAAATAGCTTCAGTAAATTTCATTTTAAAGATGAATTTAAGGGTCATTCATCATCGGTACCAACTAGAAGCGGAATCGGGATAGCGGACAATACTGTGTTATATGGTAGGACAACCGCGTACCCGAGAACTACAAATATCAGACATTGTCCAATACATGGTCAACATATGCCATTTTCACAACAGCAACAATCAACTAATACAATGGAAACATACGCATAGTTTTCATGTTATGAAATTGACAAATCATCAAGAAATATCAAAGGAAATATTTAATCGAATGGATGAGTATTCATTTATGAAAGATATTTTCCTATGAAACTTTCTAATTCGCTATTTTTGAAAGCGTTGTTGTTAAAATAAACTGCTGGTTGACTATTAAATTTACAAAAATGAATGTATGAAATTCAGTTGCAACGAAATATTTTTTCTCGTACCCGAATCAGTATGGCGAATGATTCATGAATTCTCAAATGATCCTAAAATTATAAACATAGAGATGATCTGTTTGATGTTAATTGTGCGTGTAATTCGAAAATACTCAATTCTGTGGGACCATCAAGAATTTTGATTAATGGTTATTAAAATAATAACTGTGTACACACACACACACACCTGTCTACTAAAGAATTGAATATAGATTTTTAATTTGAAACTTTCAAATTACTATTTTAATTTTTTCAATTTTTTAGTAGACAAATATGTTTTAATTGATAAATCATGATTTATGATGATGATTTCGATTATTTTTTCTTGCTTATTTCACGTGCTTCACGTTTGATACGTCTTGCTACAGCTGCAACCAATGCTGCACCGCGTCCACTTCCATCTTCCGATAACATTAATTGATATTCCAAATTTTTCGGTAATAACTGATCAATTTTTTGATCCATAATTCTGGCGAAATGTGGATGAAAACGAAATAATGACCCATCGATACCAACCGTAACATACGGTTTCTGTAAACGATTTAGTAGACATGTGATTCCGGCCGCTGTAAGATGTGCTGCCCTGAAATCGATGGGAATTTTGTAGGAAACAAATGAATGATTGGAATCATTATTAATCTTCACTCATTGATACATATATTCCACCTAAAATTTTTCCAAAATTTATATTGTTTTTTTTTTAATAAATTTTAAATTATGATTAAATTAACTTCAAATTTAAATTATAATAAAATTTTATGATTAAATTAAATTCAATTCAAACCTTGTACTAACCACCGAACAAACGTAGGCAACTATTTCACAGTCCTGAACTGTAACATGTCCTATACCAATATCTTCCAGAATTTGTATTGTCTTCTGATAGAGCTTACTGTCACTTTGTTCAGCTTCAATTTCGGATACATACTTAGTTGGGAAACAATGTGGCTGTGATATTGAATCATAATCTCCATCAAATATTAACTTTTCTTTAGCTAAATATGCTAATATATAGCGTACCAATTCACCCATATACATTCCAGAAATCATTTTTTCAAATAAATGAAATCCTGGATTAATGGTTCGTTCATCCACTTGTGAATCATAAATTGTTCGGACAAAATCTAAACATCCATCATCACCAAATGCGCCCCATTCCATGTTAATAATCATTTCTTTCGGGTATTTATCTTCTTGAAATTTGAATTTCTTAAATTTTGGACAATTTGATAATTTTTCCATGTAACAAGCATTAGTACCAGTTCCAAGGATCACTCCAATTTGACATGTATTTTCTTTGAATGCACATGCCATTAGCGTACCAACTGTATCGTTTAGTAAAGCTTCAATGTCTATATCGATATCTTTACGTCGGTTACACGCATCACGTAAGAATTGAACCACATCTTTACCTTCTACACCAGTTGCGCTGAATCCTTTACTCCAGTGCATTAGAACTCCGGATGTTAAACCTTCCTGTGAAACGGGAAATGAAAATGTAAAACCAAGTGGTAATTTATTAGCACCTTTCAAGTCATTATCTTCCATAAAATTAGCCAAACATGCAGCAATATGATCGAAAAGCGCAATTCCAGTACCTTTCATTATAGAATCCGGTACACCGTAAATTTTTCCTGAGATTTCAGCTTCTGTACCATTTAAGCGCACAAGCAAAACACGAAAATTTGTACCGCCCAAATCTAAGGCTAAATAATCGCCCTTCTCAGTACCATTTGGAACAGCTCTTACAAATGATGGCAACATTTTCAGACATGATTTCACACCAGGTTCATCACTCAATCCTTTTTCCATCTTATTATGCATTTCTTGCATTACATGTCTTAATTGATCATCGGATAAAATCAGCGGTTTGCAAAATTCTCGAATTTTTTCAAACTGACCACTACTTTTTTGGCTATGTAATGATACTTCACGAGTCATATTTCTCGTTTTGTCTGAAAAATTACAATTCTACCTCAAAAGATATTAACTTAAATAAAATTAAACTCTAACAATACCAATTTTTCAGAAAGAAACCAACACTTGGAAATATATGAGTAAAAAAAGTTTACTCACATATTTCATTTTTGAATCAATATAAATTCTATTAGTGGAACAGCCGACCTCGTTTATAGCAGGATAAAAGAAATGAACCAAGTTTAACAATTCCTTCGGTTTTTTTTTTTTAGACAACCAAAAATTTGAATATTACATATGAATTCAGCAATAAATTATTCATCCAAACTTTTTCTCATTTTTCGAACTTTTGTCAAATAATGAATGGAGAAATTGAAGTGTATTGAAATATTCTGATATATATTGTATGCCATGTTTTGTACAATTTGATATCTTGTCTTTATTGTTTTCCCGGTATGAAATGTCTGGAAAACTGAAAAAGAATGTTCTCAATCTGTCCGTCAATATCACTTCGATCATCGGGAATCACGGTTGAGGATGAAAGATAAAATTATTGAATTTTAGAATCACTTTGTCAAATTTATTTCGTTACTTCTATCGTTCAATGTAAGTAATTGTCAAAGGGTAAGTGCACAGTGATTGAGAGTTCATTTAGAAACCGAACAGTTATCAGTCCACATGATTAAAGAGATTAAAGTTATTCTAACAAAATAAAAATTGTTAATCATTGAAAAATACACTGAACTTATCATTATTATCAAATGGAAGTAGCAAAGAAATGGTAATATTCAGGAAATAAATTAGTGTATTTTGCAAGTGAAATGAACTTGTAAAATAAAATGAGGAACTTTCAGTGTGAAATTGTTTGCATATAAGTTATTTATTTTTAAATTTATTTTAATTTTCTAATATTCTAAAATCATGGTTAGGTTGGTTTCATTTTCGCTCTAATTTCGCATAAGCATTTTCAGCAGCTGGATTTTTTTTTATCATGAGGATATGTGGCGGTAGAATACTTTTGAAAAGAAGTATCATTGGGAAGTAAACTGAGACAAACCAATCGTTTGATTAATCTATTATAGTTTGAGGCAATTTTACGAACATTCAGTTGAACCGCAAGCCCAATTTGATCGATCAGTAAAATCTCCAAAACTATATGGTGTTGTAGAACTCGAGGTAAGAACAGCAAATTTAATGGGAATGAAAAGCTTGCAAAAACGCTTCTCGAATCAATTATTGATCATATTAATGACAGTAAATATGTAAGATATGCTGTCAGTTTTGAAAAAAAGCGAAAATTTGAAAAGAAAATTTTGAAATTCTATTATTTGCTAAAACCAATGAAATACTCAATAACTGCTATTTTTGATATATTGTAGATTGAAGTATCGGAATTGTTGGAAAATATTTCGATCGCCTTGCACTATTTACAGAAACTTAGTTTACTCGCTGCGACTAATTCTGAACTGGGAATTTTTCAAAAAGATATCATGGCACTGATATACACTGTTACAAATCTCAAACATAAAATACAAAAAACATTCAAAGATGTCACCTTTCAGTAAAAATTCTTTTCTTTTATATTAATTTTTAAGGCTATTTATTTATAAAAATAACACAGTACTCGTTTTCACAGAATATAGTAACTGTATGGCTAATTATTTTGTGTTTAATTAACAAGTTTTCAATTTTTTATCCATGTGTTCCAATTGCAGGGAAGATATCCATGGTTTGATATCAAGTAAAGAGAACATTCGTGAGTTAACTTCAACAGAACAGACAGATAAAACATGGCGCAATATTCAAGAACCTAAAGAACTTCGTCAAACACAAAGTGAAACTGCTTTTCATTATCGCTTTCCAGCTGGTTCTTCCACTATTGCTTCTACAAGAAAGAATCTTCCATGGATCACGGAGAAAAGACAGAAAAAAGTAAAATCAAAAGAAAAGAAACAGAATCATAGAAAAATTGGTTTAAATATTTTCGAAGAGATTATTCAAGATTCCGGATGTAAGCAATCGGAGTCGAAGCAGATAGTAAAGTTATCAAGCTATGATTTTTCGAACAATTCAGAAGCAACAACATTTCCTCTTTCATGGACAGAACGAAATATTAAAAAATGGAAGAAATTGGAGGATTTGAATTCCAAAGAAATTAAAAATTCAGAGAATGTGAAGGAAATTTCTGATCCAATATTTTTGAAGCAAGTAGAATATCAGCAGTTTCAGACGAAACAAGACTTAACTAAAACCACAAGAATTATAAAAAATTTGGACAAAGTTCGATGTTCTGTTCCACGAATGTCATGGAATCTTATCTAACAAATTATGGAAGATGGAAAAAAGTACATTAAATTAAAGAATGAATATAAAAAGCTGCTAAACTGAAACAATTAAAATTTGAAAATTCGAGCTACGTGTTTTCTTTAGAACAGCAAGTATAAATTTTAAACATGAAGGTTGCACAAAAATTTTAGAAATAGGAAATCATGCTTTGGCTGATACATAATAGATGCCATCTTCATTTGTTCCTCATATCAATCCAAATTTCATATCGCTGAATTTCTAACGGTTCCTCTGCTAGGTTACTATTCATACTTCTGAATCTCACAAGAACGCTTACAAGGAATCACAACAAAACAAAAAAACTAATCCATGGAAAAAAAATAAAATCAATTTCTACAAAACCTATCCGTACTTTTTTATTTACTCACTTATAAGAGTCAAGAAGATAAGTTTTCGGCCTTTGCTTCATCTGTTAGGCTTGTTATTCTCCCTTTCTCTCTCCCTTTTGTTCTACCCGGTCATTTTTCAACTAACAGGATTGTATCATAAAGTATTACGGTGATAAAGAAGCAAAAGGATTTTATAAAAAAAAACTTTTTTTATGGGATATTCGGATCAAAGAGCATTTAATCAATAATGAATGCCACTACTAAAGATTTACTTGCATCATTTTTTTGTGCAGAAAGATACTGTCCACAAAGTGTATGATATCCGGAGATAAAACTGGTAAATGTGAGATATTATGAACAGATCAATCAGAAGGATGTTGCATATCTTATTGGGTTCAACAGACAATTTCTCTGCAGTACTGGGAAGGAAATATTCGATACGATCTTTGTTCTCATGAATATTGATCTCATTTTTTTCTTATTAAAATAATTTCTTGAGTTGCTAAATCTCTGTTTATGAGATTCTAAAAAAAATGTAACATATCTGATGTCTGGTCGATATAGTAAATAATATTACGGCCAATTTCAAATGAACTGAAATATGAAATTTTGCTTTTTTTTACTGAAAGTAAACTACTACTCCTGTCATGTTTTTGTACCTCGAAAACATTTGGTAAATTTACCATTTTTGGAAAGTGAATACTCCGGTCGACCAACTAAATATTTCTGATGTTCGTCGTGAAAAATCTTTGATTTGGGACAGCAAATTGATATTCCAGTTAATTATGATTTTTTTCAAAGGAGAGTCGGAGATATTAACAATTAAAGGAGTCCAAAAATGAATACT